TGAGCAGAGAGCATCTGTGCGCCAGCGTCTTCCCCTTAGGATGGTCCATTAACACTGTTGCCTTTCAGGGTACGTCTACACTACTGAGTTTTTCCAGGAAACTAGAGGTCAGGGCTCGACAAAACATTGAATCTACTCGCCTGTGGCGAGTAGATTTCAGCCGGGCGCCCCGTTTTTTTGCGGCGCGTGCATGCGCAATACGGGTCTTATGCATGTGCAGTGCAGGGCTTGCGAGCGGCTTTTGCCATCGTTTGTCAAAACCTGCTAGTGGTATCCCGGAAAAACTCCGATGTGTCCAGGGAACGCATCTGTTCTTCCGAATTTTTTTTCGAAAGAGCAAATGCGCTCTTTTGGAAGCCCTGTAAACCTTGTTTCACGAGGAAGAAGAGCTCTTCCTGAAAGAGGAGGTTTTTCTGAAGTGTAGACGGGCCAAATTTTGGAAAAGCCTCTTCCGAAAAAAGAATCAGAAAAAGGTACGCAAATTGCAGAGCGCAATTTGCGTACCTTTTTCCGAAAAACAAGCATAGTGTAGACATAGCCTCAGAGTCTGCAGCATGCCAGCCGGCTGTCCTCAGCGTTTGCTGGTAAGCCGCTTACAGCACCCAGGGGCTGCCATTCCCCTTACCCAGCCAACGAGAGCGGTGGATGCTTGGGTAAACAAAGCATCTGGCAGCCTACCACGGGCTAATCCTGGTGAACCACATCCTGGCTGCAGGTTCCCCACCCCTGCTCTGTAGCTCTTCTGCGGGTACTTTTCCGGTCAGGAAATTCTGCCTGCTGTTCCCCATTGCCACGGATACATGGATGCTCTCTCGTTCACAAGGGGGAGTTCCAGGAAGCTTATTTTGGCTTTTGCCCTAAGGGCTACTCTTTGCCTGAAGGAGTTTTGCTGCTAAATGGGCACATTCTATTTGTTCTCTTTTACAGACGCTCGACCCTCTTTGATACTTTTGTAACAATCCCTATTTTCATGTTATTTTCTCTTTTTTTTTCATGAGTTAGGGTCCTATTCTCCTGGGTTTAGAACTATAGGAACATTTGGAAAAACTGGTTTTGAAATGAAGTTGTTTGTGCGAGATGTCTGGCACATAACAAGGTGATTCCATTGCTTCTCCTCCCCAGCTTAATCCCCTAACGCAGTGTTTTATTTGGCCACGGAACCCTTTTAAACTCAAAATAATTGTGCAGAACCCCTAATAACAGTCTTATATATGGAGCTGAGGAAGTAGACCACCAATAAGTAAGGATAATAATAAACAAATGCGAAACAAGGTCATGAGTTCAACATTTAGTTTAACTGCACATAGATTAATCTATCATAGTCCATTTATATTTGTCACGGTTAAATTTTTAAAAACAAGAAATCACGCGACTATAGGGAAGTAAAGTATTTGCGAGAGCGCCACCTGCACACTCCCATACAAGCAACTGGTTTGACAGGGGAAGCTTCGACTTTGTCCGACGCCGCGCTAGTATATTCCTATTCAGTCACCCCCGTGATCCACGCTCCCTGAGAGTGAGTATGGGGATTTACGGTGGTATATAACAGGCCAGCGTGCCATTGATTGACTGCATTATCTTGGCAAACACAAATGAAAATTGTTGTCCTCAAATTCAGAAATGCTTTAATTATTATTTTTTTAAAACCGTAAAATGTTATTGTCATGGAATTTTCTCGCTGAACCCCTATTTTCACTTCGTGGAACCCCGGGGTTCTGCGGAATACCGTTTGGGAAACAGTGCCCTAAAGCACCAAACTTTTCCTGTCACCCCACCTTACCGGTAATAGAATCTGTCAGTGCCCCCTCCACTACTGCTCAGGGGAGTTTGGTCTGAAGGCAGACCTGAGGGCAGAACTGGACCTAGTGGGGGCCTGGGGACAGAAAGGGAATGAGGGCAGAGCCAGGCTGGGACAGAGCAGGGGGAAGAGTGGAGCTACGGCTGGATGGTGCTTCCTCCCCACTCCCTGAGGGGCACAGACCGATTCCATCCCATTCCATGGAAGCTGGCCTGGTTCCCGGTGCCAGCCCCACCCGGAACATTCCTCCACACCACTGCGGGGGAGTCCATTTGGAGACCACCGCCCTAAATGAAGGCAGCTGACTAGCAAAGCTTTTGCTTCCCACCCTTCAGCCTGAGGAGCCAGGCCTGCCCGTTATGCCTGACACGTCCACCCCCGGCTGACACACGCCTCAGCAGCTTAGTGCAGCTGCAGAAAGGCTTGCGAACAATGCCTGGGAAGCCTGTTTTCTCGGCATACGTTATTGATGGTCCGTGCTGGCGGAGTCGGAAGCCTGCTCGTAGCAGCTCCAGTCCCTCTGCCCTTCTGCACCGCAATAGGTCTGGTGCCACTATGCTGGAGCAAGTGTTCTCAGCTGGGCCAATACAAGGGGCGGAGACCGTGGAAGAGAGGTGGAAGGGGCCAGGACTGGCTGGGAGATGACTAAAGGAGAGGCCGGAGCAGGGTTGCCACAGTTCCCTGGGGGAGCCTGAGGAGTCAGGGGTGAGCTGAGGCCCTGGTTTGCTCATTTGTGAACTTGGTCTGGTGCCACTATGCTGGAGCAAGTGTTCTCAGCTGGGCCAATACAAGGGGCGGAGACCGTGGAAGAGAGGTGGAAGGGGCCAGGACTGGCTGGGAGATGACTAAAGGAGAGGCCGGAGCAGGGTTGCCACAGTTCCCTGGGGGAGCCTGAGGAGTCAGGGGTGAGCTGAGGCCCTGGTTTGCTCATTTGTGAACTTAGACAATAAAACTGCTTTAGAGAGGCCGTGGGTCTGGCGGTGAGTCATTAGACAGCCGGCAAGAATCCCTACCGTACCACAACCCCCATTACTGCAGCTGAGAGCAGCTAATATATTTATTCCCCGCTACGGTGAGGAAGGGGAGTACTGGCATGATTCTGTTTCCTGTTCTGCCACAGGACAAGTCATGCCATAGCTCTGGGCCTCAGTTTCCCCACCTGGAGAATGCAACTGACCTTGCTTGGAGAGCACTTGGCTATCTACCCATGCAAAGCACTAGGTCAGAGCTAGCTGTTGTTTCTATCACAATCCCCATTGAGGGTGATCAGATGTCCTGATTTTACAGGGACAATCCCAATTTTCAGGGGCTCTGTCTTACATAGGCACCTATTACCCCCTCTCCCAAATTTTTCACACTTGCTCTTTGGTCACCCTACCCCCTTTGGGCCACATACACACTTTAAGAGTCCACAAGTCGCCTGAACAACTTCATTTCAGGTAAGCTCCCTTGTACATGTATGTGGGACTGGGATGTAACCAACTGAAAATAATAATTAATAATAATAAATCAAATATTGAAAAAGCTGCAGTTAGTTGCCTCTCTAAGACTTGCATCCTCCCTCCAGTGGAACATTAACATTTTAACTCTAATTATATTGTCTCCATAGAGCGCAGGGTTAGTACCAGGCCAGAATGGGATAATTATGTGACCATTTTTGTCTTGTAAATTATAGTGTTATTGTGGGACTTTAAAAAAGGGGCTTAATTGGTAGTGTAAAGTTTAATTATCAAGTGCCTTTTCACAGAAGAAGCTGTAAGAGAGCAAAAACTACTGTCAACACCACATGCTTGCTTGGCTGAGCCCAAAACTTCTTGTTGCCTTCAGAGAGGATGGGATGCGGCCTGCAATTTGGAAATGTCGGGGGCCTGGGGAAAGTACAGAACAACCTCATAGTTCAATAGGCTACCTTCAGGGATGGGCCTTTAACTCCAGGTTTTCCTTCAACACTCGTAGGAGTATAAGCAGCAGAGCAGAGATAATTCTCTCCTGATGATGCTTCCTCCTGGGAAGGAGGCTCTGGAAGAATTCCACTGTGATTTCAATCATTTTCACCCCACCATCAACCTGAGCCTGGACCAGTCTACACAAGAGATCCGCTTCCTGGACACTACGGTGCAAATAAGTAATGGTCACATAAAGACCACCCTATACCAAAAACCTACTGACCGCTATGCCTACCTTCATGCCTCCAGCTTCCATCCCGGACACACCACACGATCCATTGTCTACAGCCAAGCACTAAGGTACAACCGCATTTGCTCCAATGCTTCAGACAGAGACAAACACCTATGAGATCTTCACCAAGCATTCTTGAAACTACAACAACAGGGGCCCAGAAGGCTCCTGGGATTGTGAACAGGATCCAGAACACTTCACTTCTGGGGCCCAAATTCAAATACAGTCCAGGTAGGTGGAGAATGCACATCACTTTCCCCGGCAGAGAGCCACTCATAGGACTAGGCGATCGGAATCCAGAAACCACGTATCCAGGACACAAAACATACCACTGCAGAATTGGCATTAATTACCACTCTTGTTGGGAGTTTGGCAAAGAAGCCAAAAAATGATGAGTCTGAAGACAAAAACCACCTTCTCACCCCCAGAGATAGTTTCCCAACATCACAACTGATATACAGCTGGAGGGACTCATGTGTTTTTGGTACCCATGTGGTGATGAAAAACAGGTCTTCTGTCTCCCTGCGTACGTCTACACTAGCCCCCTAGTTCAAACTAGGGAGGCTAATGAGGGCGACCGAAATTGCTAATGAAGCGTGGGATTTAAATATTCTGCGCTTGATTAGCATATTCCTGTCTGGTCACCATTTTGGAAACTGACTAGCCCATTCCACGAGGAAACTGACTAACCTCATTCCATGAGGTTTAACAGTTAATTCAAACTAAGGGGTTTATCTCGGAATTCTGCTTTTCTGCCGCCTGTAGACGCGGGCAGTTACTTTGGACTAGTCAGTTTCCAAAATGGCAACCGGCCGGAAATATAGTAATCAAATGTGGGACATTTAAATCCCACGCTTCATTAGCAATTTCGGTCGCCCTCATTAGCCTCCCTAGTTCGAACGAGGGGGCTACTGCAGATGTATCCCCTGACTGTTAAGCTAGTTTCACAGGCACAACGTTCACTAACCACGAGAAAACGCCAACTAGAAAACCAGTGAAAAAGGCAATAAGAAACTCAACTCACCAAATTTGCGAGAATGTAGTGGTATCCTATCCCATTTTTTTCAAGCTTGATAATCTGAAATGTCAGAAATGTTTCATTTAGAACACAGTTTACGCTAACAAATAAGAGACCATGGTTGAGCCGATCACTCCCCCTCCCTCCCCCCGGAATGTACCCACTCCGCCACTTCCCAGTTACAAGGCAGTTTGTGTAAGACCGGAGTCACAGGAAAAGCTACAAAAAGACCTAAGTGGTCTTAAAGTGCTGTCAGATCAGCCCATGAAAGCGTGAAACAAAACATGTTCATCCACCACATACCGCACACGCCGGGAGAGCAAAGTATCTGAGTCTAGATGCATCATGTGGATTTAGGAGGTGAAACATGGTTAGCATCATCTACAGGCACATAGGGGACCTTAGGGAAACTATGGCTCTACAAATGCCAGAGAAACACCAGAGTTGCTCTCAAAATATTCGTATCTTTGCAGAGTTCAAGCCACCCATGTGCTGCCTGATTCAGAGCACACCAAATATAGAGCACCTACGACTTAAGTACTGTGCACCCGATCCGCTAGGTCTCTGGGGCAGCTTTTGGCTGCTTCCCCAGTGCAAAGCTGCCTCGAACCAAGCAGTCTGTCAATGAAAGATTCCTTCAGCATGTATGTACATGGCAGCACTATATAAGACACATACAGCTCCTTGCGGCCTCTGATCCCTGATTCTTAAGGTGGCTGGGTTCAGTCGGTTTGGATATTTCTTAAGCAATGTGATTGTTTAAAGGCCCTTACAGTTTTGTGGATTCTTTGTCAGTGGAAATGTTTGTTGCCTTTTTTGCTAGCAAACAGGCCCTGCTTACTGGCTGATTTTTTCTTTCTTTCTTTCTTTCTTTCTTTCTTTCTTTCTTTCTTTCTTTCTTTCTTTCTTTCTTTCTTTCTTTCTTTCTTTCTTTCTTTCTTTCTTTCTCTTTCTCTCATAATTTTTGCTTGATCTGTGGATTCCCATGAGTGGCATTCAGTTCTTACCATACATCTAAAGCAAGACCATATCCAGAAAAAGGCCAGGGAGTAAATAACAAAGATTCCTCCTGCCCCACGCAAGAGTTGAGGGAAAGCAAGTCCTGTTTGGACCGGGCATTTTAGGAGGCCAAACAACATCTTGTTTCCATGGGGTGGAGAACTGACACTGATTTACCAGCAGAACTATCACTGCTCAGGTGTCATCTGCCAGACTGCCAAACAAAACCAGCTTACGATCCCTGCCATTATAATTATCATCAAATGGATTCGTAATTACTGGACACTTGTTCCTGTGCAACTGAGTCATTTGCCTTTGCTTTTCATAGCAGAAGTGCTCTTGTATAACATTAAAACTCGCCTGGCTCCCTATGCTAATATCCCTGCCTCAATTAGCACTGCTGGAGAATACATTTGTTAACACTTTTTGATACAAAAAAGTTAGCCTCCATCACCTTTCATGCGGCACAGTTCTCCTGTGGGAGATCATTAAATATGACTGAAAGCAGATGCATCTGATCTGCGCCAGGTCGGAGGAATCCCTCAGAGAAAGCCAATTTCTTCTGTCCTCAGAGTCATAGGATTTATAATTCAGCGGCTAGATTTGGGGAACAAAATAAAACTCTCTGCCCCCTTGCACTTAGTCAATTGAAACACACCTGTGCAGTGCATCGCCCTCTTCCACAGACGTACCTACAAACTGTCAGAGGAATAAGCAGTGTTTATGTGCCAGGGCTGAGACACAGCACCTCTGGGCCTGGCAATTCATAGCCCCCCCAACTCTGGGCCTGGCGGTTCAGAATCCAGCCCCTCAGGCCTGGCAGTTCAGAGCCAAGAACTTCTAGGCCTGGCAGCTCAGAGCCCGGCACCTCTGACTTGCTGCATCAGTTACGAAAGTTTAAAAAAAAAAGTTGTTTGGGCCTCAACACTCCTTTCATCTCCTGCCCCAACGTCCCCCAGCTATTACACAAAATAGATGTTGCTGGCTCCTCGCGCTAAAACTGCCCCTATGCTATTTTATTAGGTGCCAACATCAATTAATTGGAGAGGGCGGCAGACCAGCTTTCACTAAGCTGTGAACTTACCGACTCATACGCACGAATTATGCGTCTTGCCTCCTGTGTTTTACACAGTTATTTGCTATCTTAATTTATTTTAAAGTGCTTGCTCAGCCCTAATGCTTTTAGACCGGGGACGGCAAGCTGCGGTTATAATAGCATTTATCACTTAGTCTGAACATGGAAAGAGCCAGCGTCGGGCTGCATGCTGATGGCTCGCTTGGGCCATCCAGGTTCCATTTCCCACATCTTAATGGGCAGAGTTTGACATCTGCGAGAGAGAAATTCTCTCTGAGAGCCATACAGCGGCAAGGAGATGTTTTCAGTTACTCATTTTAATCAGCATCAGGGAAGAAATGACATAGCGCTTTGACGGAATGCAAACACTTATTTATCCCATTAAGACCACACAGTATGGCCCAGTGGAGATCTTTCCACCAGCCAGCAGGGCTGGCTCATAAAAGCTGGTTACCTCAGCGTAGATAAATCATGCCCTGCCACAGACATGGGTGAGAGAAAAATCACGTTGGTTTCTCACACGCCTTTAACTCTTGAGTGGAGATTTGTTTTGAAACTGAGCTCTTAGGAACTCAGCCGCAGGGACGCGAAAGTCAGTAGCAACGGTGTGTGTTGTTTTTGTGAGAAAGAGAGCAAGTGTGTGTGTGGGGAGGGAGGGAGGGAGAGGGGAGGAAGAGACTGATGGCTGAGGGCAGAGCTCAGGTTTCTAGTCAAGAAGGACCAAACATTCACAGCCACCAAATAAGAGCAATAGGATGGCGGTGATGGTGAGGCCGAAGCAGATGTCTGAACACCTCACACAGACAAAGGGAATGAGACAGAGTAAGAAAGTGCAGCTTCTGTAACTAGGATTTGCTGGTGCCCTGAGTGAAAAGAGTAGCTGCTGGCCTGCAGAAACCTGGGTTCAAGGCAGAGCCGAAGTTTTCCCTGGCTCCCATGTACGTGTGCATGTCATGGAACAGCTGCTCAGCAAGCAGGCCCTGCTTAGCCTGAAATAGCAGGGTATCTGTGGTCATGTTGGAAATGTATTCACAGAGCTCTCTATGGGCTCCGGATTAGAATAGCTAGAGGTGCTGCTGATAAAGCTGGAATTGAGTGACAGACGCCTGCCCACCGCCCACCCTATTATGACAGGGCCTGGCTGGTTTTCATGAGCACAAAGACCCGATGCTGTGAGGTTGCTCTGTTCCATTGGGTCATATTTCCCAGAGCGCAGCTCCCCGCGAGTCACCAAAGCTGTGTCTCCCTAAGTATCGAGTGTCATTTCTTTTTGGAAAGTCACATTTTCTATTAAAAGCAGCGCTCCCAAGCCTCTGGCCCCTGACGGCCATTTTAGTGGCAAAAAACATCATTCATGTTTCAGAGGGGCCACCGTGTCAGTCTGTTTTAGCAAAACCAGCAAGGAGTCCTGTGGCACCTTAAAGGCTATCAAATGCATTAGGGCCTTAGGGTATGTCTACACTAGCCACCCTAGATCGAACTAGGGTGGCAGTGTAGACATACCCTTAGCTTTTAGCTGGGGCCCACTTCAGCAGCTGCATTAAGTGAAAACTACAGTTTTGGCAGGGATATAAACATATTCATGGCTGCGTCTAGACTGGCAAGTTTTTCCGCAAAAGCAGCTGCTTTTGCGGAAAAACTTGCCAGCTGTCTACACTGGCCGCTTGAATTTCCACAAGAACACTGACGATCTCATGTAAGATTGTCAGTGTTCTTGCGGAAATGCTATGCTGCTCCCGTTCGGGCAAAAGCCCTCTTGTGCAAATGCTTTTGCGCAAGAGGGCCAGTGTAGACAATGTGGTATTGTTTTGCGCAAAAAAGCCCCAATGGCGAAAATGGTGATTGGGGCTTTCTTGCGCAAAACCTCGTCTAGATTGGCACGGACGCTTTTCCGCAAAAAGTGCTTTTGCGGAAAAACGTTCATGGCAATCTAGATGCTCTTTTCTGCAAATGCTTTTAACGGAAAAACTTTTCTATTAAAAGCATTTACGGAAAATCATGTTAGTCTAGACGTAGCCATGCAGTAAAGGGAGTGTTACATTACTTTGTGGAGGACCGGTACTAACGAGGCCAATTTAACTAGAGTGGAGGTGGCTCGCTCCCAGCAGAATACCAAAAGAGGGGAAACAAAAGACAGGACTATGCGGCACTTTAAAGACTAACAAGATGGTTTATTAGATGATGGGCTTTCGTGGGCCAGACCCACTTCCTCAGATCAAATTGCTGAAGAAAATTGGCATGACCATATATATGCCAATGTCATGCCAATTTTCGTCCACAATTTGATCTGAGGAAGTGGGTTTGGCCCACGAAAGCCCATCACTTAATAAACCATCTTGTTAGTCTTTAAAGTGCTGCATAGTCCTGTCTTTTGTTTCAGCAAGACCAGACTAACATGGCTACATCTCTATTACTAAAAGAGGGGATATGACGTTTTGTAGTGAGCTAGCCACACCCAGTCTCTGTTCAGACTGTCTGATAGTTAGAGCCCTGTGCAGATACAACATTTGTATCCACATCTGTATCTGCAAAAATGAGCTGCCGCTTCCATAGCTGCAGATGCAGATACTCATGAATATAAAATGGATAGCCGTGGATTTTCAGGGCTCTACTGATAGTGTTAAGTTTGCATATGAATTCTAGCTCTGCAGTTTCACACTGCAGTCTGTTTTTGAAGCTGTTTTCCTCAAGTAGGGCAACTTTCAAGTCTATTACTAAGTGTCCAGGGAGACCGGAGTACTCTCCTACTGTTTTTTGAATGTTACCTTTCTTGATGTCTGATTTGTGTCCTGTTATCCTTTTAAATGACAAGGGAGCTAGGATGAAGGGAAGAAAAGAAGGATGGCAAACTAAAAAAAATAAAAATAGAAAACCCTTGCGGTTTCTCATGATAAAATAGGACCATTTTAAAGTAAGCATGCATTACATTTTGTGTGGTTTGTTTTCAAAGGTGGGTCCATTTTACAAAATTGAAATACAAACGTAAAATCCGCTGGCTTTTAAATTGTGTTGTAATTACTTCACTCGGCCCTAATTATACAAAAAAAAATATCCCTTCTTGCTTCAATATCTGATGTGGTTTAAAATCAAAAGAAGAATTTTTATGTGTAACAAAAAGACAATGCTTAAGTAGAGAAGTGCTTCGATAAATCAGCATTCAGAGAGAAAGCAAAGAGGCTTTGCTGGACACACAATGAAATGCCCAGACCAGGCCTGAACAACTCGGAAAGCGACGAGGGCCATATTACTCCAATGAAAACAGCTGCGGGCCGCAAATAGGGATGCTCTCCCCAAAAATACCGAACACGCAGGTTAAAAATTCACAGCGTCCTGGCATGTGCCGGCATCCCGCTCTCTGGCTCGCACCCCACCTCTTCGCGCCAGAGCTGCTTGCAGGCAGCCCGGCAGCGAGAATCACCGCACTTTCCCCTCCCTAGCGGCGCTCCGCTCCTCCGCCCGGCCGGCAGAACGGATGAGGCCGTGTCACCTGTAGTCGGCACTGGTCGCACAGTGAGCCCATGGGCTGCATGCGGCCCTCGGGCTGTATGTTGGGCAGGCCTGGCCCAGACAAACCTTTGGTATTGCTGACAAGCAGATAAATAAGGTAAGAAATAAACTCAGCAAGGAAGGAAAGATGCTTTGGTCTGTTAAGCATGTGACAGATGCTTGGGGAAGGTTGGGTCTTATATAGCTTTAGCCAGATTTTCATTGTCTACGACCGTGGTCCCCAACACAGTGCCCGCGGGCGCCATGGCACCCACGGGGGCATTTGCATGCGCCCGCCAGGTGCTCGGGGCTGGCTTGGCCCCGGGCACATGGCGCACGGGGAGCGCCGGC